TATGGTTCGCAAATATATTCTCCCCAGTCTATGACTTGTCTTTTCTTTTCTTTTTTTAAAATTTTAAATAAATCTTTATTGTTCATATTATTACAAATGTTCCTCATTTTTCCCCCCTCCATTGCTCCCCTCCATCAGGTTCCCACCTCACCCTCTTCCCTTTCCCCACCCCCCATTGTCCTCATCCATAGGTGCACAGTTTATGTTCAGTCTCTTCCCACACCCCCCACTCCTCTTTTCCCCAAGAATGTCAGTCCACTCCCCTTCCATATTTCTGATTCTATTATATTCACCAGTTAATATTGTTTATCAGATTTTTTAATTCCTTTGGTTTTTAGATTCACTTGTTGATTGTTATATATTTGTTGTTCATAATTTTTATCTTTATTTTCCTCCTCTTCCTAAAGAACCCCCTTCAGCAATTCATATAATTCTGGTTTGGCAGTGATGAACTCCTTTAGCTTTTTTTATTTGTGAAGCTCTTTATCTGGCCTTCGATTCTGAGTGATAGCTTTGCTGGGTGGAGTATTTTTGACTGTAGGTTCTTGCTATTCATCACCTTGAATATTTCTTGCCATTCCCATCTGGCCTGCATGGTTTCTGTTGAGAAATCAGCTGACAATTGTAGGGGTGCTCCTTTATAGGTAACTACCTGCTTTTCTCTTGCTGCTTTTAATATTCTCTCTTTGTCTTTTGCTCTTGGAATTTTAATTATGATGTGTCTTGGTGTGGTCCTCTTTGGATTCCTTTTGTTTGGGGTTCTGTGTGCTTCTTGGACTTATAAGTCTATTTATTTCACCAGGTGGGGGAAGTTTTCTGTCACTATTTCTTTCAGTATGTTTTTGGTATCTTGCTCTCTCTCTTCTTCTGGGATCCCCATAATTCTGATGTTGGTTAACTTGAAGTTGTCCCAGAGGTTTCTTACATTATCTTCAACTTTCTGGATTCTCTTATCTTCTTGCTTCTGGGGAGGTGTGTCCTCTGGCTCTTTATGTTCCAAATCTTTGACTTGATTCTTGCAGTCTTCCATTCTGTTTTTAGGACTCTGTATAATATTTTTTACTTCAGACAATGTATTCTTTATTTCTAGTTGATCCCTTTTCATATCCTCATAGGTCTCATTTATTTTATCGGCCTTTTCCAGGAAATTCTTGAAAAACCTTATAAGCGTGGTTTTGAACTCTATATCCAGTCACTTTTTGTCTTCCATTTCTTTTTTTTGTGATCTGTTTCCTTGTCTCGGCATTTTTGCAGCTTTCCTGAGTTGGTAGGGTGGCTTTGTGTGCTAAGTTGTCCTATGTGGTTCAGTGGGTCAGTCTTCCAGTTACCTGAGGTGCACACTCTTGGTGCACTCTTTTGTGGACTGTGTGTACAGCCTTATTGTAGTTAAGTCTTGATTGTTGTGGTATCACTGGGAGGAACTGACCTCCAGGCCAATTAGCTGTGAGGATCAGCTGTGTCTATGCCAGGAAACAGCCTTATTAGACTAGTCTTGGAAAATTGCAAAAGCCTCTGTGCTCAGCTTGGGTGAGGCGGAGTTTCAGGGTGGAGCCTACAGCCTTGGATTTCCATCAGCCTCGCCCTATGAGGTTCCTGAGTCTCAGTGTTCCTCAGGGTCCTTCGGTAAGCACCTCTGAGAGAAAGGTGCCCTCGAGTTTCGCCCGCTACCAAACAGTCTAGTCTCTCCCCCAATGAGCCCGGAACTGGGGTTCAGTGCAGTTGGAAGTAGGGTTGGAAGTGGGGCTCAGAGCAATCTGGAGCTTTTGTCTCCTTCCCACTAGGACAATCAAGCGACACAGTCAACAGTCCGTCCTCTGCACACAACGTGCGCACCTCCAGGACTGCCTTTCGCCGCTCCCCTGAATTTCCACCTTATAGCCCAGACTCCCTCCATATGAGCTTAGGTCCCCAGGGTCTCGCCCAGAACTGGGGTTCAGTGCTGTCAGAACTGGGATTCAGCACAATCCAGAGCTTTTCTCTCCTTCCCGCTAAGGAATGCCAGCCAGCCACTCAGCCTCCCCCTCCTCTCCGGCTCAGTCCTCTCCCTGCACACACCGTGTCTCCATACCTTAGGCTTTTACAGCTTCTCTGATTTTCCTTCTGGTTTTTTCTTTCCTTCTAGTTGTAGAATTTTCACTCAGTCAACTTTCCTATAGTTCTGGGTAATGTCCATTTTGTATTTTAGTTGTATTTTTTTGAAATTGTTGTGTGAGGCTGCAGTTAGGCATTTACCTATGCCGCCATCTTGGTTTCTCTTCATTTTAAATATTGAATCCATTCTCTCCAGCCCTTTAGTCTGATCAGATGCATGATGGGTCTTCTCGTCCTGTCCTCCATGTCTCAGCTTCTCTTTCAGACTTTGTTAGTCTATCTCTCTGTGATGCATTCTGGGTAATTTGCTTCAGCTGGTTTATTCTGCTTTTTAAACATTTGTTCAGTTTATTTAAATGCTTATATTTTTTCATGTATAAAAACTGCATTTGGTTCTTTTTTTATTTTTCACAATATATCGTCATTAGGTTTCTGATTCCTGTTTTCACATTTATTTGGTTTCTATCAGCCTTACTTCCTGGAAGTCTGGATTGTTATTCTCCTACCTCAGGCCCCTGCTTGTGCTCCTGTGCAGTCATTTTGTTTCCTTCTGCTGATGCAGGATTGCTTCTTATATTATTTGAAATTTGTGTGTTTTTTTTAAAGAAGGTGGTTTCTTTTTTTTCTTTTTTTTAATGTTTTATTAAATTTTTTTTAGAGAGGAATGGAGAAGGAGAGAAAGAGAAGCATTAATAGTCTGCATGCCCCCTACCAGGGATCCACCCGCAAACCGGGCCTGTACCCTGACCTGAAATCCAACCACAGACCTTTCGGTGAACAGGAGGGCAATCGATGCTCAACCAACTGAGCCACACTGGCCAGGGCTGTTTTGTAATTTTAGATGGTGAACTATCTTCAGGGTTTTGCTTTCTCTAAAAAATTCTGGGTAAAAAAGAATGGAAAGCTGTTTTGTTTTTGCGTCTGCCATTTGCCCCACCTAAAATCCAGGGACATCACAAGCCCGGGATTTTAGGTGGGTTTCTCAGCGTGGCTGTCCACACCAGGCAAATCCAGACTGCAGACTAGCAACAGGTGCATCCTGGGATGTTACTCTATCCCAGCCAACATTTCCTTGTTGCCTTTCTGTGGTGGTGTGCAGTTTCTTATTCTTTTCTTTCTTTTTTTTTTTTTTTTAACTGAAGTTTAGTAACATGCATATCTCCTATATACCTGGGGGAGACCCAGAAAAATTGAGTAACTCTCCAAAATGGCCCGTTTTTCAAATTTAAATTTTATTTTTTAGTTATAGTTGACATTTAAGATTATTTTGTTTTCATTTCAATTTATATAGCGTAGTGGTTAGACAATCCTATACTTTACAAAGTGGTCCCTGCAACATTCCAAGTACCCACCTGGCATCATACGTAGTTATTACATCACTAGAGGCCTGGTGCATGAAATCCGTGCACTCGGGGGTCCCTCAGGAGACGTCTGACTGATGGCTAAGCGGGCCTAAGCCGGCAGTCGGACATCCTTAGCATTGTTGAGGAGGCAGGAGAGGCTCCCACCGCCATTGCAGTGTTCGCCATCCTTGAGCCCAGCTTCTGGCTGAGCAGCACTCCCACTGTGGGAGTGCACTGACCACCAGGGGGCAGCTCCTGCATTGAGCTTCTGTGCCCTGGTGGTCAGTGTGCATCATAGCAACTGGTCGTTCTACCATTCAGTTGATTTGCATATTAGCCTTTTATTATATGGGATTGACTCTTGTCCCTATGCTGTACTTTACATCCCCACAACTATTTTGTGACTACCAAGTTGTGCTGCTTAATCCCGTCATCTTCTTCTGGTGGTGTGTAGTTCCTAGCTGTTGGTTTGGGGTTCTTTAGTCCCCTCCCCTCGGGCCTCATGCTGGGGCTTTTTACTGAGATGCAGCCCTTCGAGGGTGCTGGCCTCTGTACAGTGGGCCCCCATCCACACATGCGTGTTACCTCCCGTGCATTTCCTTCAGCTGCTGCAGCAGTGCCTGCACAGGCTGCCTCACGTCTGATGCCTGGGGACCCTCTTTCTTCTTACATTTAGCCACGCAGAGAAAATGTGGGGTTACATTTCACTTAGCCTTTCCAGGTGTTTGTGCTGCAGAGTTTGTTCTTGCTTATTTGCTCCCTGTCTGAACCAGAAGCTCTAAGTGACTCACTCTCGGCCTCAATTTCCTCCATAAAGTAACGGCACCTCCTCCATGGGTGTGGAATGAAGGAGATGCAATGCTTCCTGCAGGCCTGCCACCTGGTAGAAACTTCGGATGTCTGGGAAAATATTTTTTTTAAATATGCTGTTCTTCCCACTGAAAATTATGATCAGCACTTAATCTTTTCCAACCTTCATTCATATGCATATTCCCCACGTTACTGATAAGACAAAAGTCCCACTGCACATGCAGATTTGCATCTGCTTATAGTCTATCATGGGATCAGGGTGCCAGAATGGTCAGGTCCCAGCTTCTGCACAGTGCCTCCTCTGTCCCACCTGGGACGGTGGTGGGGGTGGGAGGAGCTCTCTAGTCTCATCTTAAAGGGGCACTAATCCCATGATGACTCCCATGACCCCATCTCACCCTAATCACCTCCCAAAGGCCTCATGCGGACACCATCACATGGGGGTTAGGGCTTCAACGTAAGTCTTTGGGAGACACAGTTTAGTCTGAAGCAGTAAGATTTCTCTACTAACTGCTGCCCCTGAGGTTGGAAGCTCACCTGTGGTCTTAGCAAGAATGAGTTGGTCAGATTCGCATTCTTCTCTGCCAGAGTCCGCCTGGGCAGAAAGGTGGAGGGGCCAAGCACAGTGACGTGTCGTGGTTGGGGCTTGGGGGATAAACTGAGTGTTTCTGCAGGAGGCCAGCCCCCAGCCTGGTGGTGCCCGAGTGACCCTGTCTTCTCTGCTCTTGCCCCCGCCCCCCATCCCTCCGCCTGCAGGTCACGATGGGCCTGGAGCTCTCTCCTCCGGTCACTTTCCAGCTCCGGGCGGGCTTGGGACCCGTGTTCCTCAGCGGCCAGGAATGCTACGGTGAGTCTGAGCTCGGACTCAGGGAAGGTCAGAGGGTGCACAGGGACATAACAAACACCCCAACACCGAAGGCTCCTGAGGGATTAGAGGAAGTCCCCAAAGGCAGCACAGAGGCCAGTAGCCTGGGCGGGAGGGCCACAGGCCCGGTTCTACCCCCAGGCCTCCTCCACCTCGCTCACCGTCCCTCCGCGGCCCCTGGCCTCGAACACGAGCGGAGGCCTGTATCTTCAGGGAGGAGCCGTGCAGAATGGATTGGATGTTCAGGAAAGGCATTGGCATGGGGCCCGGGACTGGCACGCACTTACAATGTTCGCGTAGCCCGGCCAGTGTCAGCCTGTGTGCCCGGAGGTCACCATCCGATTCCAGGCTGGTGTCCATCCCCAGAAGGGGGCGCGCAAAAGGCAGCCCATCCATGATTCTCTCTCATCGTGGATGTTCCCATCTCTCTCTCTCCCTCTCCCTTCTTCTCTGAACGCAGTACAAATACGTATTTTTTAAGTGTTCGCTCCGAGTGAAGCACGTAGCTGTGGCAGTCGCACGGCCAGCAGGTCGCCGTGCGGTTGACTCTTGCCATAGCCTCTCCCTGGCCTCGTCTCTGTCCAGCTGTGCCTCTGTCCTCGGGGTGCTCTCCTGTCCCCAAACCCTGGCAGTGTCCACTTCCTGCGGATAAGGCCTGAAGTCCTTAGCTGCTGCTCCGGTTCCTCCCCCCCTTTCCCTCCCTCCCCTCCCAGGTAAATCCCCCCACCTCCCTGCCCCCAGGCAGAGCCCAGCTCGCCCTCCCTTGCCTCCTGTCTCCTTCCACTACCCTCTGATGGGCCCTCTGAGCTGTCCAGTCCGCTCCCCCCACCTCCTCGCCTCCACTCTGTCAAGGAGGCCAGGCGGGTGCTCCACGGGGACCCCCCAGGCACCTCTTCTCTCCTGTGAGCAGAGATTCCTGAAGTCTCCTGGGAGGAGGAGGAGGGGGAGGAGGAGGATCAGTCAGAGGAGGAAGATGACGACGATGACGACGATGATGATCAAGATGTGACCCTGGAGGACTCCCCTGTCAAACAAGGCAAGAGGCTTTCGTCCCAGAAGCAGGCCAGCATTGCCAAGGTGAGGGAGGGGACCCTGGCCAGGCCCCCCGGGGCTCAGGGTTCAGGAGGTGGGGGCGCAGTGGGGTCTGCTCAGGCCCTCGCCCTCACCCTCCAATGACGCTTGTGTTTGGTTCCCAGAAAAAGAAAGTGGAAAAAGAAGATGAGGCGGTCAGGTAATTCTTTCCTATCTGCACTTAGACGAACCCTTTGGGTGAAGTATTCAGTGCCAGAAAGGGCATCTGTGCCTGCTGTGCACACGCATGTGCATGTGGACAGGTACCCAGGTATGCGGTGTCTTGCCGCAATAGGTTGGCACAACCTTTTTTTTTTTTTTTAATATATTTTATTGATTTTTTACAGAGAGGAAGAGAGAGGGATAAAGAGTTAGAAACATCAATGAGAGAGAATCATGGATCAGCTGCCTCTTGCAAACCTCCTCAACAGGGGATGTGCTCGCAACCAAGGTACATGCCCTTGATCAGAATTGAACCTGGGACCTATCCACTGAGCCAAACCGGTTTCAGCCACTTTTTCTTTTCTTTTTTTTTAAATATATTTTTATTGATTTTGTACAGAGAGGAAGGGAGAGAGAGATAGAGAGTTAGAAACACCGATGAGAGAGAGTCATCGATCAGCTGCCTCTTGCACACCCCCTACTGAGGATATGCCCGCAACCAAGGTACATGCCCTTGACTGGAATCGAACCTGGGACCCTTCAGTCCACAGGCCAGCGCTCTATCCATTGAGCCAAACCGGTTTCGGCAGCACGCCCTTTTTGAGAAGCGCGAAACCGTGCTTATAATCTGGCCTAATGCCCCTCGTGGCAATGCCTGTCCAAGGGCCCGGGGAGCACTGTGTGCGCCGAGAAGCCCCCCGCTGCTGGCTGAGCCACGGGTGGGAGCGGAGCGTTTGCTCAGTGGCCGCTGCCTGTGCCTGTGAAGATCGCAACCCGGGACGCGTTGATAGAATCCACAAGAGCGGGATATTAAATCCTGTTCATTGTATTGCACATACTAGTATGTTAAGGAGGGAAAACAAACAAAACAAAAAAAACCCAAGAGGGAATACACCGAAATGTTAATATTGGTGGGAGGGAAACAGCATAAGCAGTTTATTCTCTTCTTCATGTGCTATTTTGTGCAACATGATCACTTTTATCATGAAAAGGGCACGTTTGTAATAAATACAGGAAAGAGAGCAGACGGAAGCCTACGAAAAAGCATCTTTGTTAAAAATACATAAATAAAAAGGGAATCAGAGTGGCTCCCGGCAGGTGGCAGGTGGAGAGGAGAAATCCAGGCACAGCCCCTGCTTCCTGCTCAGCCTTGAGGCATGGGGAGGGCCGGGCTAGGCACAGGCTGCGCTCTCTCTCTCTCACCCACCTCCTGCTCCTCATCCCCCCTCCCTCCCATTGCAGAGCCAGCCTTAAAGGCAAGAGCCCTGTGAACAAGGTGAGTGCATCTGAAGGGCTGGTCCTGAGAGGGGCGATGGTAAAGAAAGAAGGGCTGGTCCTCCTTGGGGGAGGCGGGGGGGGGGGGGGGTGTCTCTGGGAAGGTGCCAGGACCTGGAGCCCTGCCTTCTCTCCACAGGCCAGATACACACCCAAGGGAAAAAAGCCGGTGCCCAAGAAATGAGAAGCCAGGAGTGCATGCCCCCGTGATCGGGGAGGGCCTGCCAGGCCACCGTGCACCGTGGGCCTCCCTGAGCTGCCCCCTGGGCCCAGGGAATATCCCTCCCGGCCCTCAACCTGAGTCTGGATGTGATGGAGCTGTTGGGGGGAACACAAGAGCCCCTCACCCCAACTCTCCGGATTCAGCAGGACCTGGAGGGAAGAGCCCCAACCTCAGGGACACAATAAAGTTTGCTTTGCCAAGACCTTGTGTGTCTGCGTCTCTTCCAAGGAGCACTGCCTTTGCCGGCTGCAGTGAGCCCTTGTGCCCAGCAGAGGGCGGCGTGTGCCACCCCATCCGCCCTGGGCGCCAGGCCCTGCCAGCTCTGCTCCGTCATCTCCCTCTCTTATCCTGGCACCTCTCACCGCCCATCTTTGCCGGGGAGAAGCCAGTGTCTCAGCCCCTTACCCAGCTTTGACCTCTGCCCCTGGGCTGAGGGTGGGAGCCAGCACTGCTGTGGGTCCTCCTGCGCCCACACTCCCTTTGGGCAGGCCCCGTTTTCTGGGGACAGAACTGCCTGCGGCTCGTGGCATGAGGCAGCCGGTGGGACCAGCCCGAGGGTGAGCATCTCTGGGGACCTCGAGACACAAGCTGGTGCTTCTCCCAGGCGTGTGTCCTGCTCACTTGCGGGACGGTCTGTGCCGGGCAGGAGCCCAGAGGCCTGTCCCTTCGAGGAAACATCTCGGCTAGAGCCGGAGGCTTCAGGGCAGCTGTCCAGTGTCTCCTACGGGAGGTGGACCGGTGAGCCCTGTCAGCCCCGATGCTGGGCTCCCCAGGCAGCTCTCGGAGCTGAGACCGACGGGGGATTGCCAAGGGGTGGGTGGCCCTGCGTGGCTCTGGCCTCCCGCCCTCTCCCAGGCCCGCAGAGCCACCTGGCAGCCAGGTCATCCATGTGACAGGCAGATGGTCCCTGACGCGGGTTATACTTATAGGGCCCCTGCTGGGCTGCCCCCTGCCCCTCCCAGTACCTCCCCTGCCCCTCCCAGCACCTCCGCTGGCCAGGCCTGCAGTGCGCTGATGGGGGGGCCGGTCCTGCTGTCTCCAAGGACCCCCAGATCTGGGTCCCAGAGGAGGGCTGTGGACACCTGCACAGAAGGCCAGCGCCCCAGCCTGGGCCTCCACATGGCTCTGCCATTCTCCCGAGGTGGCAGAGGGCAGGCTGGCCTTCTGCTGCTTGCCGTCTGCACCCCACAGGCTGGCTGACGGGAGCACCGGCCCCCATAGGAGAAGGGGGCCGCAGGCCTCAGGTCAATCAGAATGGAACAGCACAGCAGTTCGGGTCCGGCTCCAGGTGGGCAGCTGGCATTTTCCACGGCTCCCTGCCCGGGGGATGCCGGGCGGACAAGACAAAGTCCTCGCCTTCGAGTACCCTCCAGCCCCGGGGGGACAAAAGCCAACAACAGAGCATCACCCCTGGGCACAGACAGCAGGGCGTGAGGGCACGTGCTGGGGGTGGGAATGGCTGGGGAGAGGTCAATGGGGGGAAGGAGACTTATGCAATACTTCAACAATAAAGCATTTAAATTAAAAAAATTTTAAAAAGCCAACAACTTAATTTCAATCACTTTCAAGTGCGCTGGAGGAAGCGGAACGGGCTGCTGTCCAGGGTGGAGGAGTGCTGAGTGAGGAGATCTGAGGCTGCTGAGAGGGAGCAGTGGGCAGGAAGGGGCCGGCCAGCCACGGAGGAGCTGGCAGGACAGTTCCGGGAGCAGGAACAGGGAGTGCGAAGAGCCTGCGGCAGAGCAGGCGTGGAGATCTGGCCAGAAAGGAGAAGGATGTGATTGGGGCGATGACCCTGTCTTACAGGCCTCACTCCTTTAGTCCTCACAGCCCTGCCTGGGGGTGGGTGCAATTAGCTCCATCCTCAGGTGCCCAGAGTGCGGCACCAGGCGGTTCAGCAACATGGCCCAAGGTCACACCGCTGGCGGAGGAGCCAGGATTCATCCCAGGTGGTCTGGCCCAGAGCCCCTGTCGTTAGCCACCCTGTGAATGCGAGGCAGGGGCAGGCAGCACCCGGCGCTCGCTCAAACGTCTCATAAACTCCCTGACCCGTTTGGCTCAGTGGTCGCAAGGGTCCCAGATTCGATTCAGGTCAAGGACACGTACCTTGGTTGAGGGCACATCCCCAGTAGGGGGAGTGCAGGAGGCAGCTGATCGATGTTTCTCTCTCATCGATGTTTCTGACTCTCCCTCTCCCTTCCTCTCTGAAAAAAAAAAAAAAAAAAAAAATCAATAAAATATATATATATTTTTTAAATAAAAATAAAGCCGAAACCGGTTTGGCTCGGTGGATAGAGCGTCGGTCGAAGGACTGAAGGGTCCTGGGTTCGATTCTGGACAAGGGCATGTGCCTTGGTTGCGGGCACATCCCCGATACGGGGTGTGCAGGAGGCAGCTGGTCGATGTTTCTCTTTCATCCATGTTTCTAGCTCTCTATCCCTTTCCCTTCCTCTCTGTAAAAAAATCAATAAAATATATATTTTTTAAATAAAATAAGAAAAAATAAACATAAAGAAGTCTCATCAACTGGGAGCAGGAGCCAGCACTGAGCCCGAATGCCTGTGACACTGCGGCCCCAGGAGGGGGGCACCCAGCACGCAGGGACCTCTCCCCAGTCCTCGAGCTCCGCGCCGGGCCTGGGCACAAGGGCACTCAACAGCTGCCCTGCAGCTAACTTGACTTTCCCGTGGGGCGGGCAGTAGGGGTCACCGAGCAAAGATGGGGTCTGCCTGCACTGCTGAGGGCCCCCCCCCCCGCCCCGCCCGCAGCCCTAGCTCCTCGGGGTCTCCGCAGGAAAAGCGTGGGCTGGGTCCAAGCAGGAGGCTGAGGCGGGTCTGCAGGTGGGCTCCGTGCCCTGTGTCTGCACCAGCGGGGCTGCTGGGACCAACAGGTGTGAGACACCCCAGCTGGGGGGCTCGAACTTGTCACTGGGGAGTGAGGATGAACCACTGTGCAGCCCAGGCTGCTTCTCACCTCCCCTGTCACCTCCTGCTGCCCCCCCCCCAAATGTTAATGACCCTGCCCTTTCTCCCTCCTCCCGGCTTCCTCTGGTCAAGGGAGAAAGTCAGGCAAAGTTGAGGCACACTGAGTCTGGACCACATAAGAGAGTCTCTTTCCCCTCCCCCCATTCTCTTTATTTTTTATTTTTATATTTTATTGAATTTTTACAGAGAGGAAAGGAGAGGGATAGAGAGTTAGAAACATCGATGAGAGAGAATCATCGATCAGCTGCCTCTTGCACAACTCCTACTGGGGATGTGCCTGCAACCAGGGTACATGCCCTTGACTGGAATTGAACCTGGGACCTTCCAGTCCACAGGCCGACGCTCTAGCCACTGAGCCAAACCGGTTTCTGCGAGCCTTTCTAGTTTTAACGTCTTCCCATTATATTCCAGCCCTGGGCTCGGCCAGCTATGGGGGCTGGGGCTCCACCACCCTCCCCAGGCCAGCTCAGGCCGGTGGGCTCCCTGGGGCTGGGGGGACGGGGCGGAGGGTCCCTGTTGCCTGGGGGCAGGGATGGCAGACGGCCTTGTGGATTGACGTGGCTGGGGAAGGTGAGAAGGCCTGGAGGTGAGAGCTCTGCCCTCCCACTCATCTCTTCAGGTAAATAAACCCGCCCCCAGCTTTCCCTCCTCTTCCCGGCCTGGGGCACACCGACCCCCAGGGAGCCACGCTGAGTGTGAGTGAAGGAGGGGCTCCCCCAGGACCAGCCCCCCACCCCCACCTCCTGTGGGAGGAACAGGGAGACTGGCTATTGGGGCGCGCTGGGCTGGGCGGGGCCCTGAGTGTGGGGTCCCGGCAGAGATGCAGACACAGAGTGAACTTGGGAAACCTGGTCCCCATTCACTGGCTGGTCGTTCTGAGCTGATGGCCGACCAGCGAACCTGTCTCCTCATCTGCAGAATGGGGCAGCGGCAGCCTGACGGAGTGGTGTGAGGCCAGCGGGCGTGTGACATGGCTGCGGGCTCCCTCCCAGGGGCTCCAGGACTGGCTGCTGCCCTAGGGGGTGGCGAGTGACGGGCCTCCTGATGCCCACTAGGTATCTCTTTGGGTCCTGCAACACCCAGGCCCCACAGTCCCCATCTCTCAGAAGAAGCTGCCCACGCCCAGCAGCCAGTTCTTCATCCCCCCCCTCAGGCCAGCTCTCGGGACTCCATGGGGGTCCTCCCCAGCCCCAGCTGCCCCTTCCTCCCCACCCCTGGCCCCAAGCTGTTGCACCCACTCATTGCTGCCAGTCGGGACGCCACCCTTTCTTCCGTGGCCAGACAGCAGGGAGGGGGGCCAGGAGCCGGGCAGAGGCAGCGCAGTCCTGACCCCCCTCCCCCGCCCCTGCCCTGCAGGGAGGCTCCCCCTCTGAGGCTGCTCCCGGGAGCTCCCGTCCCCACCGCCTCAGACAGATACCCGCTGCTCACCCGGGGGAGTGGGCACCAAACCCGGGCGGGAGGGCGGGCGGGAGAAGCTGGCCATGGCCACAGAGGGGAGGAGGGGCACTCCGCTGGGGTCGGAGCCCCCAGGGCCAGCCTCCTTCCTATTGAGGAGGCTCCAGCAGCCCCATCCTCTGCCCGGGGAGCCCCGGAGGTTGGCAGCCCCAGCGGCGGCTGCTTCGCAGTCTCACTGGCCGGGAAGGTGGACACATCACACCTCAGTCTCCCAATTACGCCCTCCTCCCCCTCCCCCTCCCCCTCCTCCTCCCCTCTCTCCTCCCTTCCCCTGTCTCTCCTCCTCTCCCCCCTGAAAACTGTGGCTTGGAGAGACCTTGGCTTCTCTGGGGCTCTACCCTGGGGACTGCCCGCATCTCCTCCCGAGTCTGGGGGCAGGGGGGTCACGGCCCCACGAAACATCTCCTCCGGCGATGGAAGCCGCCCGCCTGCTGCCCAACCTCACCCTGTAAGTGCCGGCCCTTCCCCTCCCGACGGACGGACGGACGGGCGGGAGCTCCGTGCCCTCCCCGGCCTCTGGCAGCAGACAGGACTCCCACACGGACGGGCGGGTGGGGCGGGGGCGGGCGCGGGCGCCCCGGGTGCCCTGGCTGGCTGCGGCACCCACACCTGGGTCTGCCCCGTGTCCCCACACAGGTGCCTGCAGCTGCTGATCCTCTGCTGTCAAACCCAGGTAGGCGCCCTGCCCGGGGAGCTTCTCCCTGTGCGGCCCACCCACCGGAGGGGGAGGGGCGGCCCCCTTTCTTCCCACGGGGGCAGGTTCTGGCCTCTCTCTGGGGTGTGAGGGGGTCCAGCCCCCAAGGGGAGTAGGAAGAGGGGCGACCGCAGATTTGGGGACCGACGGAGGTTTTTCGCTGTGTTCTTTCCCCGCGACCCTCCCTGCTCCCCCGAGTGTCTGCCTCCTTCTCCATCCCTCCATCCCTCCATACCGGGTCATCCCCAGGCTCCGCGCAGCCGCCTCACAGCCTGACGGATGGAGCCCCGAGGGAGGGGCTGGGAGAGGGCGGAGGTGATGGCTCCAGGGAGGCTTGTACCTGAGAGAACAGGTCTCCATGCAAAGCCACCTGTGTGTGCCACTGCTGACCGCACTCCCACCAGCACAGGTGTCCTGCGGGGGGCAGGCGGGGGGCGGGGGGTGCCGTCCTGGGGGGTTCTGGGAGCAGCGTGCCCGGCCAGGGCGGGTGACTCCAGACACAATGAGGTCAAACCCCAGAAAGGTCGTCTGAGACGAGATCCAGCGTTTGCCTCTCCAGTCCCCCCACCCAGGCCTGCCCCTGTGCCCACCTCCCCCTGCCCAGCTGCAGCCCGGCCTGGTCCCTTTTTGTGATCCTCCATCGCGGCGCGGCTATTAAAATGCACTGGGCCAGAACGCGCGCGCCCGCTTTCCCAGGCCAGAGGCCGCTCCTCTTCCTCTCCCGTGGGGACTGTTTCTGAAGGTAATGCCTTTTTTTTCCTCTGGGAGGGAGAGAGGCTGCCTTTGAAGCAGTGGGGGGGTGGGAGGGAGAGGAGACACCCCCCTTTTCCTTCCCACTTTCGCCCGGGCCCCCGTTCCAGGCCTTTTGCTTCACACGTCCAGGGAGAGCGCGAAGAAAGCCCCCAGCCCGGCCGGCGGGCGGGGGCGGGGGTGGGCCCGACCTGTTCTGGCAGGGGAATTAGCACAATGGTGCGGCGGCCCGTTTATGGCCTGGCGGAGGCCCCATTCAGGGTCCGGGGAAGGTGGCAAAGCGGTCCTTTCCCCCTTGAAGTGCCCCCTCACCCCCCTGGAGGCGGGGGCGCGCAGGCCGGACCACAGCCATGCTTGAGGGGCCGGCTGACAAGCAGCTGTCTGCGGGCCTGGGAGGGGAGGTCCCCCACAGCGGGAACATGAAAGGGACAGGCCAGGTCCCGCGGGGAGAGCGACTTGTGGGCTGTGGGCTGTGGGGGGGCGTGGGGCTGCTTTTGTGCAGGGCTCGAAGGGGGATGCGGAGCGGAGGGGGCCCTGGGGGGGCCGCTCTGCTTCTGACCTGGAACAGCGGGCCAGGAGGAGGCTGCCGGCCAAGAAGGGCGGAGGGCCTGAACCCGGGCCAGGCGGCTGGGGCTGGGGGCGGGCGGACCCCACCAAGGGTCCTGGGCCAGCCAGACCCCGCCTCCTGGCAGAGAGGCAGGCCTCCCACCCCAAACTCAGCCCTCAGGTTTCTCTGGGGAGGCCCTTGGGGCGGGCGGGCCGCTGAGGTTGGAAATGAGCAGTGACACTCGAAGGGTTAACCCCCAGCAGGTTACACTGTCAGCTCAGGCTGCTCCCTGCCTCCCCTTCCTCAAAGCCAGCACTCCCTCCGCTTCCTCCAGGAGAGAGGGCCCTGACACATGCTGGTCCGGGCCTAGCTCTGCCCAGAGGGCTGGCCTTAGGGACTGGGGGCCGGAAAGCCTGTCCCAGCAAGGCCACGGGTCCAGGTGGAGAGAAGTGGTTCAGCTCAGTGCTGGCCCTGAGGCCGCTGCAGCAGCTGGGCGTGCAGTCAGGCTGCACCTGGTCTCTTGGGCTCAGTGCTGGGGCTCAGTGCTGGGCTCAGTGCTGGGGCTCAGTGCTGGGGCTCAGTGCTGGAGCTCAGTGCTGGGGTTCAGTGCTGGAATTCAGTGCTGGGGCTCAGTGCTGGGGCTCAGTGCTGGGGCTCAGTGCTGGGGCTCAGTGCTGAGGCTCAGTGCTGCAGATGGCTAAGGAGAGACCAGGTACTCTCCTGCCTTTGTTTACAGGCTGTGTGGGTGGAAGAGCCCCTCCCTCCTCCTGGAGGGGCGGGTGGTGGCGGCATGGCTGGCCATGATGCCACGATGCCCACCAGCCTCTGTTCCACTGTGCCTCAGGCAGGTGCCTGGTAGTGGCGGCCCTTGGACCATGCTGACAGCACCTTCACAGCTCCTTGGCCTCCCTCCTTGCAGGAGGTGCCTCCCCCACGCAGGAGGGAGGAAGACTGGAAGGGGGTCTAGCTTCTCTGAGGGCCCTGAGCACCCAGGGGAGAGGCAGGGGAGCAGGCCTGGCTCAGGGCCCCACACGCTACTATGAAATGCTTCCAGGGGCCTGCAGAGCTAGAGACAAGGACCTGACAGCCCCTACAATGCTCGCTGGGGACCCTAACAGACCAGCTGTGCGTGCACATGCGCGTGTGTGCACATGCGTGCGTGCGAGTTTGCCGGGGTGGGGTCCTTCAAGGCTGGCGGGGAGGATGGAGGGAAGCCTGGCTGTCCCGGTAACCGAGCCAACGCCCCCGAGTTCTGGAGGGGCGACAAGCTCCATGCGAGAGGCAGGACAGGGCTGTCTCTCATTCGCTGTGTGGCCTGTGCACCTCCTCCTCAGAATGTGGGGGTCAGATACGGAACCGAAGGCCTAGCTTTCAGAGTCACAACCCCAAGCCTGCAGCCTGTCACCAGGAGTCCTCAAGCCTGGGCACCCCGCACGCCTCTCTGCAGGCTGGCAGGGAGCCCAGAGGTCATGGCTGGCTCGCCCCCTGGCTCCATGCCCCCTTCAGCCTGCACCTCGCCCTCGCAGGACCAAGGGCCTGCCCCCCCACCTCTGTGCCCCTCTCCCCTGGATGGACTGGTGGTGGTGTCACCCAAAGCAAATTGACACTATTTTTCCCTTGGTAACCGCAAAGGGGGAGAATCACCCGTCTCCTAATTTTAACCAGTACGTGAGGGACCAGGGCGCCATGACCGACCAGCTGAGCCGGCGGCAGATCCGCGAGTACCAGCTCTACAGCCGGACCAGCGGCAAGCACGTGCAGGTGACCGGGCGTCGCATCTCCGCCACCGCCGAGGACGGCAACAAGTTCGGTGAGACCCAGCCCTGGCCTGAGGCCGCCCGTTACCCCCGGCCAGCTCCACCTGGCTCAGCCCAGAGCTTGGTTCAGGGCCTCCCCATGCTCCCCACCAGAGTTCAGAGGTCAGGTTGTTTGAGGTGGGGGAGGGGGGTGGAAGGAGGCTCTCACCGCCTGGGCTTGCAAGCCTCATAGACAGAAGCCTCTCTCTCTCTCTCTCTCTCTCTCTCTCTCTCTCTCTCTCTCTCTCTCTCTCTCTCTCGGCAGCCAAGCTCATCGTGGAGACGGACACCTTCGGGAGCCGGGTGCGCATCAAGGGGGCCGAGAGCGAGAAGTACATCTGCATGAACAAGAGGGGCAAGCTCATCGGGAAGGTGAGGCCGGAGGACGGCGCGGACACGTTTCTGGCTCCTCCTGGGGGGTGGGGGGCCAGGGCCACCAGCATCCCCGAGGCAGGTGGACCAGGGACATGACTCTCCCGCTCCCACCCACCACGGCCACTCTGTGTTCGTCGTGTCCGTGAGTCCCTCCGGACTGACCAGCGCTCTGAGCACACTGACTTGTCTGCAGGGCCCTCGCTCAGACTCATGGGCATTTCCCAGCATCCCTCAGTAAGAACTTCAGCACCTCCATAATGCTGCCGCCCCTGTGTGGCGGGGTCAGTGCTCCGTGGGGTTGGAAGTGGGCATTCAGACAGGGCCAGATGCTCCCCCAAGGTCCATGGACCCAGCCAGCGAGAGGCACGCGGACCCCCTGCTAGTGTGTGTGTGTGAGTGTAGCTGTCTAGCGGAACCGCCTGCCAGTATAACCTACGGTGCAGTGGCAGGTCCAGCACCGCTGAGCAGGAGAACTCCATTTCTTTTCTTCTTTTTTTTTAAATATATACTTTATTGATTTTTTACAAAGAAGAGAGAGGGATAGAGAGTTAGAAACATCAATGGGAGAGAATCATCAATGGGAGAGAATCATCAATCAGCTGCCTCTTGCACACCCCCTCCAGGGGATGTGCCCGCAACTAAGGTACATGCCCTTGACCGGAAATGGAACCCAGGACCTTTCAGTCTGCAGGCCGACGCTCTATCCACTGAGCCAAACCGGTTTCTGCAGAACTCCATATCTTTAGCACCGGTCAATCCTGGCTTCCGGTTCTGGCTGTTCCCACAAAAATGTTTATTTTTGTCAGGCCTCAGGCTACTTGTCTGTAAAAAAAAAAACAAAACGGGCACAGCATCAGGGTTATCTGGAGAGTCCCAGGGCTGCCTGGATGGCTCTCCACACAGTTGGTGTCCATAACTGTCTGCCCTTCTTTTCATCAGAGAACAGCGCCCCCTTCCCCCCTGCCCAGCAACGCCACACACCCACCCAGGGCTGCTTTTGTGTACGAACACCGGCTGGTGGAGCAGGAAACCGCACAAGCTCCTAGATCCGTGGTGGTCGGCAAGCCGCAGCTCTCGAGCCACATGCGGCTCTTTGGCCCCTTGAGTGTGGCTCTTCCACAAAACACCACGGCCTGGGCGAGTCTATTTGGAAGAAGTGGCGTTCGAAGTAGTTTACGTTTAAAAGAATTGGCTCTCCAAGGAAATGTCCATCGTTGTCCTGTTGATATCTGGCTCTGTTGACTAAGGGGTTTGCTGACCACTGGCCCTAGATCTTTACGCCTCCTCTTGGTCACCTGAAGCTCTGCGGGGCTGGATGCCTGGCTAAGATGCACAACGTCCCAATGGCAGGCCTGCCTTTCAGTGCTGGTCTGACTCCAGGCCCAGCTTGCCCCTCCCACCCCGCGTGGCCTCCCCAGCCAGGGCACCCCCTCCCCAGGCAGAAACCCTAGGGGTCCCAGCCCTCCGAGGTCTAAGGTGACCAGACGTCCCGCTTTGGGCGTGACAGTCCCAATTTTTAACAATTTGTTCGGTGTCCCAAGGCCTTTTAAAAAAAGTCCCCATCTCGCTGAAACCGGGTTGGCTCAGTGGATAGAGCGTTGTCCTGCGGACTGGGGGGTCCTGGGTTTGATTCCGGTCAAGGGCATGTACCTTGGTTGCGGGCACATCCCCAGTGGGGGGTGTGCAGGAAGCAGCTGATCGATGATTTTCTCTCATCGATGTTTCTAACTCTCTATCCTTCCCTCTTCCTCTCTGTAAAAAATCAATAATATATATATATATATATATATATATATATACACACTATTTAAAAAAAAAAAGGGCCTTGGGACACGGGACAAATTGTGAAGAATCGGGACTGTCCCGCTCTTGCCCACTCTTATGAGGCCCAGGAGGCAGAGCCGCCAGGACGGGTGGGTGGACAGACGTCCCTCCTCTCCTTCTCTCCCCGGCAGCCCAGCGGGAAGAGCAAGGACTGCGTGTTCACGGAGATCGTGCTGGAGAACAACTACACGGCCTTCCAGAACGCCCGGCACGAGGGCTGGTTCATGGCCTTCACGCGGCAGGGCCGGCCCCGCCAGGCCTCCCGCAGCCGCCAGAACCAGCGGGAGGCCCACTTCATCAAGCGCCTGTACGAGGGCCAGCTGCCCTTCCCCAACCAGGTGCAGCGGCAGAAGCAGTTCGAGTTCGTGGGCTCCGCCCCCACTCGCCGGACCAAGCGCACTCGCAGGCCTCAGCCCCTCACGTAGACGGGAGGGGACACGGGGTGGCCGCCGTCCCTCCTCAGCCTTCCCGCCGTCCCCTCCCCTTCCTAATCCCAAAATGGGGCTGGGGTGGAGGGCGGGAGGGAAGCCGGAGCCCCCCCAGGAGGTCCCCAGGACCAACAGGCATCGGTGCCCACGCTGGACGGGCAGATGCATCACCCAGGCCTGGGCCTCGGGGCCGCCTCCTGGACCCCACCCTGGCATGGGCCCCAGCGGTGTGGCAGGCCCTGGGGGAGACCGCTGTAGTGTGTCCCCCCACCCTCCACACACAACACAGACTCACTGAGCCCAGTGGGAGGTCGCAGGTTCAAGGCCTTGCAGAGGGTGGGGAGGTGGCCCTTCTCAGCTCGGCTCCCAGGGTGTCAGTCTGCCCCGGCCCCAAGCTCCTCCTGGCCAGGCCGTAGGAAGGGACTTTCGATTTTGTTTCAGAAAAAAAAAAAAAAAAAAAAAAAAAAGGAGGGCTGACCATTCTTCACATTCCACTCCCCAGGCCTGCACCCCAAGCCCCAGCTCCCAGCCCCAGAATAAAACCATTTTCCTGCAAACGGGTGGTCTGAAGGGGCGAGGGGTGGACGGATCCAGCTGCACAGCCCCGCCGGGGACCGGCCGGCCGCCCGGAGCCGCGGGGCCGCGGGGCCGCAGCGCCGGGCCGGCAGGTGCAGGCCGCGGGGCGGGGCGGGCGGGGCGGGGCGTCCCGGGGCACCAGGCCTGGGTGGCCCGGAGGCCGGCACCTCCGCCGCGGGAGCCCAGGGCACCCCGCCCTCCACGGGCTCTGGTTTCCTGGCTCTGCGGACGCGTCCCGTGCTACCTGTTGGGGCGCAGGGAACCCACACCCTGGGGCCGAGCCTGGGGCCGGGCGGGCGGGCGGCCAGCGGGGCAGAGGCCGCAGCAGCCGCCCGCCGAGCAGGACTGCTTTTCTCCGGTGAGGAGGGCGGGTGGGGGAGGAGGGTGCGGACGGGAGGGAGGGGCAGTGAGGACCAGAAAGTGTCCTCTGGCCGCCTAGGTCCGCACCTAGGGGGACCTCAGAGGCCGCCGGCCCGGGGGAGGGGACGGGAGGGCAGGGGAGGGGAGGGGAAGAGAGGGGGGGAGGGGGTGGCCCTCCCCGCCCGAGCAGCGTCCCCGGTGGGCTCTCCCAGACGCGCCCAGGTGCGCACTTCGGGGATGGAGCTCCGAGGCCATAAAACCCGCCTCTTCCCCACTTCGCACTGGCTTTTGGCTTTTAATCTTGTCCAGGGAGAGGCACCTGTAGGTCTCTCTCCAAACCCCAGTCTGTGCTTAGGGGCACACCTCCCCTCCTCCCCCGCCCCATCCTTCCTCTGCGGGAGGACCCCAGCCTCAGTTTCCCTCCTTTCGGAGAGCACACGGGGGAAGGGGAGTATGGAAAGAGAAGGAAAAGATGAAAGACGTCGCTTCTCCCGAGAATGGCCTACAGATCAGGACAATGGGCGGTGTGGAGGGGCCCGGTTGAGTGCAGAGGGGAGTGTGTAAGTGGATGCGGGCGGGAGGGGTCACCCCCTCTCCTTGGGGACCCGAGCCCACCCCCCACCCCCCAGCTCCGGGCAGTTTAGACCAGAGGGAGGTTCCCAGGCCCCAGGACATTCTCCCTCCAGTTTGTCATAATTGCTTTTTACCAGGTTGCTTTTTTCTCTCTCCGCCACCTCCCCAAAGTCACAAAGAGCCTTAATCCCGGTGAAGACTGGGCGGTGAGGGGAGGGTGGTCTGGAGCCACGGCTGATAGCTGGCAAGATCAATGGGATTTTAAACCCATGGGGCAACGCCCAGCAATTACCTGAGGACAAAGGGTTGGCGCCCCCAGGTGTGGAGGCCTGGACTTGGGGGGCCTGGGAAGGAAGTGCGTTGGGGAGGGGCAGCGCTTACAATCCCTCTGATTTCCGAAGGAATTTGAGACATTCTTTAAAACTCTAGGCTGCCTCCCCCCAGCCGGGCTCCCAGGCCCACCCCCACCTTCCCTGGCTTGGGTTGGAGACAGCTTCAAAGGTGGACGGGCCCTTTGTCTGGCCTCCGCTTTCTTCTCGGCCTTCCTCGGCCCCTCCCTCCCTCCCTCTGTGACCTCCCCAGCACAGGCAGGCCTCTGGGGGCCAGCTCCAGAAAGCCCTCACTGTTTCCTTGCTGGCTTTTTGAGGTGAGACCTGGCCGAGAGGGACAAACTGGGGAACTAGCGAGGGAGGAAGGCAGCATGGAGGCGTATGCCGTCTCCGAGTGCCCATGCCCCACCCCATGCCCAAGCCCGGCAGGTCTCAGGCCTGCGTGTGCCCTTGGGTCCCTGGCTCACCACACCATTTAGTGCTTCTGCAGAGACAGGCTCTTTCCCCAGTGCCTCTGCATAGGGCGGAAAGGGGTGTCTGTTCAGCTCATTCCCTCTGAGCTGGCCAGTTCTTAGGGGCTCACAGGAAGAGGTCTGGGTCTCTAATCGAGGGCCCTCGGAAGGGTGTCAAGTGTGAACGTGTGGTTGGAGGGAGGCTTCCCCGGGCCTCACCCAGCCCTCAGCTTGCTGCTGTGTGCCTGCAGATTCTAAGCAAGAGTGCAGAAGGGGGCGGGGGGGGGGGGGTGCGTGCGGAGGAAGGAAGAGACTTAGGACAAGAACCTGTCCGTGTCAGGGGGGTGTGACAGGGTGGAGGGAGGTGGTAGCAGCGTGCCTCGGTTCCGGTGCCTGTTTGGGGTTACTAAGAATAGCCTCCATATCGATCTCTGTTCCCTGCCCTGTCCTCCAAACAGCCAGATGAGGCAGAGGGGGGCCGAAGCAGGAGGTCAGAGGGGGAGTGCACGCTTGCTAGTGGTTGCAAGCTGGCTTCTACGCACATCATTCCGATCCGCCCCGTCCTCAGTGGCGGCAGCTTCCCAGTCCCCGGGCCAAAAGGCCTGCCTCAGACCCCGATGTCCTCAGCCTCACAGCCCACCACCCAGGACCACCCCTGTGACATTCTTCCCTTCCTCCGCCTGCCAGCACTGTCCTGTCTTCACCCTCTCCGCCTCCCCCTGCTCCAACCTTCTCCTTCCTTCCTGCCTCCTCCTCATAGGGACCATCCTCTCTGCTCTTCAGTGTCTCAACTCTCACCCCCTCGCCGTGACTGCTTCCTCATCCAACTCGGGAACTCCACTGCCAGCCCTCCCTGGATGTCTCAATCCCTGCACAGCTTTCAAACGGTCTCTCTGCCTCCTGATGCCACCACCCACCCCCACTCCACAATGTCCGTGTCTTCGGCCTGCCTCACCCTACCACACACCCCAGATCCGGTCCCACGATCGTTAGCAAGCAGCATGGCTTTCGAGGCTCCTGCTCAGGCCTGACTGAAGGCCCTTCCCAGCCCCAGCCCTGCAGCTCCTCCTCAAGAACGCTGGCAAACCACCACCCTGGCCATTCAGCAAGCACACGTGCCCGTCTCTGTCCGTGAGGTGCCCACAGCCTAGCCTCCCTCCGGAAAGCTTGCCTGCCCGGACCACAGTCGCCTTGCCTGCCCCGTGACTTCTCCACCAGCCAGAGAAGTGGCCGTGTCCACTGTGCTGTTCTCTCCGGCGGCACAGCCTTGCCCTCTGGCACACATCGCAGCTGGTCCAGACTGTCCTTATTTATGCTTGTGCCATGGATCTGCTCGATAGCAAGCGCCTCAGATGTGGAAATAGTCCATCTTTACCCCCCCCCCCTCGCCCTCCTGCCCCACTACCCAGCACAGTACATTACGCAGAATAAGGATTTATTGAGGAAATAAACCATCAGAAGGCCAAGAGATGACCTAGTCTAGCCCCACACAATGGGGGCAGGATGAGTAGCCAGAATCCAGCCTTTCCCCTCCATCCTTAGCTGTACTTGGGTGGGGATGGGCGCTAAGCAGTTAATCTAAATATTTATCTACTAGAGGCACGGTGCAAGATTCATCCACTGGAGGGAGGGTCCCTCTACCCAGCCTGCCCCCTCTCACTGTCTGGGAGCCCTCAGGGGTGGAAGGCATCCCAGCGATCAAGGGAAGGTGATGCCCCATCACACCTCTGCTGCTGCCACTGCTGGCAGCGCAAGCCTTGTCTGGCCCTGGTTACCTGAGCCTCAGGTGGCCCTGGGTGACTGGGAAGCTGCCATCCAAGGCTTGCCTGCCCCTTGGGCCAGCCCTGAGCAGCTGGGAAGATGAGGAGATTGGGCACCACCATCTTGTGGCTGTGGGTGCTGCCATCTTTGAGGGTGTGACAGTAAATTAGCATATTTCCTCTTTATTGGCTGTGGGCACCACCATCTTTGAGGGTGGGGCAATAATTAGCATATTTCCTCCTTATTGGCTGTGGGTGCCACCATCTTTGAGTGTGGACAGTCAATTATCATATTCCCTCCTTATTTGCTGGGGGGCCACCATCTTTGCGATGACATGAGAGTCAATTAGCATATTCCCTCTTTATTAGATAGGATTACCTATAATGTACAAGCACTGGGCTAGCTCCCAGTTAATTAAAAAAAATGGACAAGATTGCATCATCCTCTGTTAAGCAGTTGTGGGGATAAAACCATGAAGAGGCCGCTCCCTCCTGGGACTTTTGGAGCTCTCTCTCTTACAGTTAAGATAGCACGGCAGCATTTGGCACCTCCCTAAAGAGTGGAGGAGGGTGTGGGAGCTGTGGGAAGTGGACACGGGTGTGCGCAGTGCTCTGGGGATGGCCAGGCAGCATGCGAGGCTGGCTCACATGGATCCTCTCATTTAGAGGATAAGATTATTCCCGGGTCTTGAGTGGGCGAAATGAAAACACAGACATGTGAAATCACCCCCAGTCACGGCCAGTGAGCCCTACAACCTAGATTCTCTCCTGACCTCAACGCCTCCAGTGGGCGATTCTCCACTCCCCATCCAGGCATGAGGGGCTTGCAGGTGGAGATCGCATGAGGTGAGGCAGCTGGGAGATGCTGGGGTTTGCATTATCTTTCAGAACAAGCAGCATTCCAGCCGGCAAGGAAGGCACACAGGGGAAAACTGAGTGAAAATAGCATGAAAAGAAGACCTTGAGGCGGGAACACATGAGGTGTGCTTAGGGGAGGTGAGAGTGGATCTGAGTGTGCTCAGGGGAGGTGAGAGTGGATCTGAGTGTGCTCAGGGGGAGGTGAGAGTGGATCTGAGTGTGCTCAGGGGGAGGTGAGAGTGGATCTGAGTGTGCTCAGGGGAGGTGAGAGTGGATCTGAGTGTGCTCAGGGGGAGGTGAGAGTGGATCTGAGTGTGCTCAGGGGGAGGTGAGAGTGGATCTGAGTGTGCTCAGGGGAGGTGAGAGTGGATCTGAGTGTGCTCAGGGGAGGTGAGA